CCGTCGACTACGCTTTGTAGGTTCTCCGGTCCTCCGCTGGTACGGAGCAATGGCGATCGGGGGCGGGGCATCGCGGTGTGACGTCAGGCGCAAGGCATGTATATTAATTAAAGGGACATTGTCACGAAGTGGGGAGGAATAGTAGGAGAATAATAATCCCACTCCGAGGTTAACAAAAATTACTTCAAAAGAACAGAAGATTAAGGTTGGACCGGTGACAAGCGATAGGTCCACGCCTGGGGTAGAGGCCGGTGGAGAGGCGACGACACGTAGAGTTGTAAAACAAAACAAATATAATATCCCAAAACACGGGTCCTTTGGCCGGCACGGCCACGAAGGAAAGATAAAAAGAAATAACGAACACAGCAGTCTAGAATCTCGGGTCACAGGCACTAACATTCCGGTTATCAATACCACGCCATTTCAGAGACAATGAAATGAAATGAAAATAAACAAAACTACAGATCAGGAACTCGAAAGCGTTGAACACAAGCAGACACAACGTTAAAGTCTTATCTGAGCGGAATCCAAGTCCAAACGCTGCCGAGGGTCGTCCTGAGTTCCCGGACGATGAAGGGGAAGACTGTTCCAATGACCGACCGCCGATCGTCGCCAAAACCCCCTCTATATATTGTCACGGGTGGTGGCCAAAAAACAATAAATAAACCGAAAGAAATAAACGTTTAATGTGGCGAACTTGTGCCAAAAATGAAAGGGTACAAAAAAAATAACAGAGCGTCGCGGGCGTCGAAGTCGGCGTAGCAGCAGAGTCGAACGCTGGGGCGAAAAACTGACTCCGCTCGCCTTGCGGAATCCCTTATGTACCCTCGTGGGTTTCTGGATCGTTCGGCGTAGAAGGTTCGGCGCGTACAACATTCTAACCTCGAATCAGCCAAGACGGTTCTCGAATTCACCAGAACATCTCATTAGCCGCGGCCAGGAATCGAACCCTGGCCTTCTGCGTAGAGGCAAGCGCAATAACCGTTAGGCCACATGCGCGCTGCCTGCTTGGCCAGCTGCGCGCGCGGCAGTATGCAAAACATGAGCATTCTCCGGACCATAAGTTGGTGAATCAGGATCAATCAGAGCGCTGATTGGCTCTAAGAAGCTCCTTCTTAGAGCCAGTCAGCGCACTCAGTTTCCCAAGCAAAGAAAAACCACACAAGCACATTTCCAGAGAAATCGACCTTGGAGTGACACGGTACGTCCGCGGGTGAGCCATCGCCCGCCGAGGCGTGGGAGACAAAACTTCAAGGTCAAACAACAACCTTCTTTCAGGTTGGCCTCGCCCTTCCGCGGATTTCGGCGCCTTCCTGATCTCCCCACGCTCCCCCTTTCCCCGACAGTCCTCCCTAGGGTGCCTTCATGTGCGCTTCGCATAGGGTGATGCCAACTGCCCATTTCCCTTTCCCAGACCCTCCCCCGGCGCCATTTTGGTTCTCCATTGTTACGCCGTGCGCTGGAAAGTGGCCTTTGTGTCCATCGGTCCTCCCATCCGAGGGGGGAAAACGCTAATCCTCCCTCCGTGGGTTCCACAACGCTGCTCCGAACTTGTGAGATAAGGTGCTTGTTTCCGGGAGGGTTATAAGCCTCACGGATTATCGCCGAGAGCCAAGATGGCTGCTGGTCTGTCGGCGAGTGGTATTACAAAGGATGGCATCACCCTAGCAAAGCGCACATGCAGGCTCCCTAGTCCTCCCTGACGATTCGGAAAAACAAAAATTGTTCCCAGAGCGCTCGACAAGCGCGCCTGCCAAGCGACCTTGAGCGCCCGGCCCCACGGCAACTCTCCCTCTCTCCCGCGGACATCACTGATCTCCAATTCAAAAGGGAAGAAAGGTGCGCCCCCGAACGCGGCAACGATGGCAGACTGGTTGCATTGGGCTGCACTCGTTCCACTTCTCCTGAAATGTGGCGCATCCGAACACAGACTCGAGTGACGTAAAAATATAGTTTATTCATTTATTCCCTTCAAGGGCCTCTGTAGGCATTGCAGAGAGGATACTTAATACTACACACGTGATAACATCAAAGCACACTGACATTAATGAACACAAAACGAGCCCAGCTACCGAAAATGAATATTACACTCGTAAGAAATAATTATTGCTGTTATTTGTTAATTGCAAAACAAACGCACCTCTGAGCATCTAGTTTAATAGTATGTGTTGATGCAATGTTAGATAGCAACCCACTTCTTATACGTATGAGACAATAGACCGTTTGCAAAATCCCATCGAACAACACGACTGTCACCTTTGTTTGTCGGTGTAAAGAACACGAGTGGGTTCCAGTTCACGTAGCATGCTAATGCAGCATCCGAGTCCAATAAATGCTGAGCCGAGTTCACAGTGATGGCTGACATAACATTCTTGTCGAAGAAATGCCCAAAGTATCAAGGCCTTGGGTAATTAGAGTAGCAGCTACTGTAATTCGTTTCATCACAATTTGGCAAATGGTGAAGGCTGCAGTCTCGCTGAACCAATATGCACGCTGGAGAGAGGCACATGACAACATATCATCAGAATGCTCCTCTGCACAGATTTGTCACCCACCTTCACTCCGTCTCTTTGATTGGCTCGAGGGGTTGTGGCGGTTTCCCGTTACGAAGTTACGGTGAAACGAAGTATAGGCGGCACCCACTTTTGAACAAAAGTCTATTGAAGAGACTGAAAGGAATGGCAGTCAACATTTTTCAACAAGACTGCTGTTCGGGCAAGGGGTGAACGCAAATATGAGCCCTTTTGTCCAGGTAATTATAACAAGTAAATAATTGACCGACTGATATAATGCACTCTTGATGAAAAAAAAAAAACTATTGCTACAATAAATCCTACGAAAGAGAAAAATGTGAAGTTAATCTTCTATTTCCGAGTTGCATACATTTAATTAATAAAGTGCTGATATGTGGGGTTCTATCTTTAAACCTCTAAAAAGTGGTACTGCATTTTGTTTTTAACGATTTTAGATGCTAGAATGATGAATTAGACAACCATCTAAGAGGAGTATGATCGTACACATGTAGGTTACTGTGGACTATTGATACCGATCGGCAAGGTAAAGAGTATAGTAATACTAATATCTAAGGGACATCGGATGCAACATTTTGTGCACTGATCAATAAAAAATGTGGATACTTGCTGTGTTCCGAGTTTCAAGGGGACAAATAAACTGTTTTATGAACATAGGTAATGAACCTTTTTCCGAATTCGAGTTCGCGTGCACGTCAATTAAGCAAACGCTTTTCACTTCAAAACAGTATTGCGATCGAATGTAGAATTGTTGATTAGCACAAAAGGTTAAAGACCGCAGGAGCTTCCTCGCTAGAAGTTGCTATGGTTATTCGGTGACGCAGGGCTGAAACAACTTCCCCTATGCCCTAACACGACGCACACCTTTCGCTTCAATTCGCAGACATTCCAACGTTCAAACGAAGCTAGAAAAATTAGAATATTTTATGCTAGAAGTTACATCGTAAAATTGTTGATTAGTACAAAACGTAAAGATCGCAGGAGCTTCCTCGCTAGAAGTTGCCGTGATTATGCAGTTCGCTAGGGCTGAAACGAATTCCCCTAGGCGCTACATCCGACGCATACATTTCGCACCGATTCTCAGACATTCCAACGTTCAAACAAAGCTAACGAATGCGAAAATTTCATGCTAAAAGCACTCAAAGTTCTATCGACCCTCAAACACATTCGGGAATCCAAGTACCGCTACGGCGATACGGCTGATGCTGTCTCAGGGGTGTTAATATCCAGATGATCCAGAGATATCTTGCGCAAAAAGGATGTAAAGACTCATTGCTTTAAATTTTCACATTATACTTGCGTCACAGAGCACGAAGAAGTCAGAAATCATTGGAAAGCAGCGGCACATCCATGGCGCACCGAACAAACTCGCATCCGCCAGCTCGAGGCGCTGCCATCTTACCGGTGGGCTTCACGGCTGTTGTGAGGTCACGTGAAGAGTGGTCACTTTTGCGTACAACATGGCGGCAACCGGGGGGCAGAGCCGTATATGTAGCGAGTTTGGCCATTCGTTGGGAAGTATAGGAGAGAAATCAGCAGGCGCCATTGGCCAATAGCGGGCTGGGCGTGTTCCGGGGCGCCTTCAGAAATTCGAATGTGGCCAAACAGAAGCCAGAAATATTACCCTGGCGGAGGTCGCGGGAAACAAAGCTGATAAGTGCATCGGAGTAATTCTCGGTGACTGAAAATACGGTACACGTGATGTTTCAATCACGCTCCTCCAAAATGATGTTGGAAGAGTGCGACTAGCGGAACGATCAACATAATCCTTACGCCAAGTTCCGAGGGCCGGGAATCTGCCGTCCGAGCGGTCACACTCTGTCCGAGCAAAACAGAGTTGAGCGGCGCATTCGTTTCTTGCATCTTTCTGCATGATCATGATCGAAACATCACGTGCACCCTATTTTTAACCACATAGAGTTACTACACCCATATACCTTTGATCAGAACTGTTTCTCGCTACCACCACAAGGGGATTCTTTTCGGCTTCTGGTTGGTCAAGACAGCATACCAAGCCCTCTTTCTGAGTCTGGTGCACGCCCTGGCTCTGCCCGCGCTTCCCATTGACCAAACTCTCTCTATACACGGCTCTGCCGGGGGGTGCCACTTCCGAACTTCCGGTTTATAACTCTAAGCCCCTCTACCTCGTTGGTCCCTACGCACATTAGCGTTTGAGAGTGTTTGAGTTCATTTGACCGCGTTGCGTCGAGAAATGAAAGCGAGTAACTGTCACAACTGTGCTTTGTATGAGGCGTGGACTCCAGTTCAAGGAATAGCTTGGCACGCAACGTAAGAAGCAGGGATGTCCTGGTTTCTCGCAGCCGCAACGCAGTGAAACGTACTCAAACGCTCTCTAACGCAACTGTGCGTAGGGGCCTTGGATTCGCCCGGTCTACTGCCTTTTTTTGTCTATATTTGACCCTCGCGGGATCACCAATTGTTAGATTTTGTGGTCTGATACAAGCGAGGTTTTTATTTTGAACCGCATCAATTTATTCCTTCCCACCCATTTATTTTAATATACTTCGCTGGATTCACTTGCTGCGTTAAATGGCAGTTTCATTGACTGGCGCAGTCATCAGTAATTATCCTTTGATTTCTGGCGTCCTTGATTCGTTGCTCTTGTCTGGTGAGACCTGCAAAGAGCATAATAACAGATACAGCTTTGATTTTAATTCAAACCTAATTTTAATGAGCAGCAAGAGTTACACGGGCACTTCACAATGTATTTCTTAGGCTCGGCGCGTGTTAGATGGAAACATAAGCGTCATAATTAGTATGGTAATTATCTTGACGGCAATCAATATTGTCACGAATGACGAGGTAAAACAGAGAAGGACTGGGGAAACTAAAACGTTTAATGGGGCGAACTTGTGCCCAAAAACAAAAAAAAAAAAAAGGAAACAGAAGAATGCAGGGCGTCGAAGTCGGCGTAACAGCAGAGTCGAACGCTGGGGCGAGACTGACTGCGGCTCGCAACGCGAAGCACCTTTTGTGGCCACGTGGGTTTCTGGAACATTCGGCCTAGAACGTTCTCGAACTCACGAGAATACTAAGTTAAAAGAATGAATAAAAGGTGTAGTCCTCTAACTGAAATCGAACCTAGACCTTTCGCACGACACGGTAACCATTCGCCCACGTACGCGCTCGCTCAGCGACGGGTGTGGCGATATGAGAGGTCAGGCCGATTTCGGCAAGTCGCGCAGCAGACGACGCACTAGTTTCTCGAAAGCCGAGCAGACACATTAAGCCCGTGGGTGAAGCATGGCCTGGGTACTTAGCCTATCAGTAGCTTCGTTTGCATGAATGCGATCGTAGCGCATCGAATCGAGCAGGGACCAATCGCAAGCAGCCTGTATTTCTACTTATTCCTCTTCTACCGATCTGCTACCAATCAAAATTTTCAAATCTCGATTAGATGAGCTACGGTCGCGTCTATGTAAATGCAGCCATTGACTCTATACATAGCCTCCTCTATACTCACAAAGCCTGGCAGTTCGACCACGGAGCCATAGAGTGCCCGGTCGCAGGCTTGGAATACGAGGATCGGGCAGCACAAAGCATTTCTCGGGGAGCCTGTAGTCAGCGCACAGTTTGTTCCAGCGGCGAGGACCCGAAACATGGTTTTCAAAACGGGCGAGAAAAGAAGATAGCCCGAGGAGTGCGAGAAGCACGAGCGGATATTCTGTCGCTCGGGTCAAGTTTGTTTCGGCGTCTCGGCTCAGCGGGGCACGCCTTTCATCTGCCGCTCTACCTTTTAACTTTTGGAGACCGTGTCTTGTGGCGATCTGCCAGGCTTTGTCAGTATAGAGGTGGCTATGGTCTATAGTTTGTTTCAGCTTAAATCAAAACGCAGCCAATGCTACAAGCACAATCTTCTGGCTTTCGGCGTCCCTGCCAAGCACGAGCGCTTTGAAGGGCAAGCGCTGTTGACGACCACATGCTTCCGCTTGTAGTATCGGCCGCGTTTGGACTTAGCTGAAACGAAGTACACTCTAAAAAAAAGGGGATGTAGGCGTTACACCCTTGTCACATATACGACACCCAAAAACTTCAGTTGGATGTATAGCGCACTGACGTTCTACCGACGTTACCAAATTACACGAGCGGCTTAATAGCCGAGTTGTGCAACTCATTAAAATAGTGAATGTAAGTGGTGACTGACTGTAAAAAAAGTTATCGGGGTTTTCTAGGCTCACTTGCAAAACCTGTGTGTGTTTTTTTTCTGTAGACTTTGGTACGTACTTTAGCTGTTTAATATGTTATAACTAGGGTGTGTACTTTCCGGTGTTTATTTGTGAGAAAAATCGGCGGATGTTTTTCGGTGTTTATTTATTTTCAAAGCACCGGTGTATTTCGGTGGAACGTCTCACGACTAGGCTAAAATCCGTGATTATCGGTGAAAAAAAATGCGATAAATCACAGACAGAGAGTTCCAATTTTATTCACATATTTCATACACTTCTTCTCTAGGAAGCATCTAATTTCACGCTTGGTTATTATAGTAGATGCAAGCATACTTCGAGAGGCTTCCATCCGTCATTGCAGCACGTTCCTTGCGGTTCACAACCCGCAATTATGAAAACGCACGCTTCTGTACGAGACGGACGTTGGCAGTGTCTTCCAGGAACCACGGCAACCTCTGAATACATGGCTTGCACCGACACCACTTGACCAGACACAATGGGGAAAGGGCACGTGAGAGCCTACCCTCCGCTGCGTTAACTTTTCCACAAAAGGGGGCCATGGTAGACACAATAGGGGAAAAACGTGTGAGAGCTTAGCTTCCAATGCGTTCACTAGACGCTTTTGACCGCCAGAAAGGAGGGCGGACTGACGCCACGTGCAAGCCATGCATAAACACTGGAAGAATGCAGAATCCACGAGATAACACGTTTGACGAACCTCTACGGGAAAGGGTTTCGCTAGGTCGGAAACATGCAACGACCGGTGTTTTCGGTTTTAACCAGGGCGAAAATATCCAACCACCGGTGTTTTTCGGTTTTAACCGATTTCATATTTTTGTCACCGACGGAAGTTTATCGGTGTTTTTCGGTTAAAACTGGAAAATACACACCCTAGTTATAATGCACCGTCATCAACTCTCTCGCAAAAGTTGGGGCAGTCAGTTTTGATATCAGTGCGCTCTACGTCGAACTGAAGTTTTGGGGCGTCGTATATGTGACAAGGGTGTAACGCCTACACCCCCTTTTTTTTAAAGTGTATAAGTATGAAAAAAAAAGTATAGTATATGCGGCATGTACGTGCCGTCATCGAAAGATGCTGATGATCGTTTCTACTTGTTCTTTCTGAGATAAAAATGTCTGCAGTATATACGTTACTGGAGGCACGCGCCCGGCCGCCAGGCCACCGGAATGTAGGCTGATGTGACGTCGATGTAAGTCATGCGGAGACGAATAGACGAACAGCTTGAAGTAACGAGAAGCCAGTTTTGAAATTCTGCTTGAAACTGCGGCACCCGCAGAGTGGTTCGAATACAATTTTGTTCGTGCACAGTCGACACGAAAAAGGGTTAGCAGAAGGGACAGGGTGTCAAACCGAAATTTTTACCGGTCCTGTTCGGGTTCCGGTTCAAGGCTTTCGGTTCAATTCCTGTTCAGTTCTGGGAAGCCAAAATAACGGTTCAAACCGGTTCGAGCCGGGTTCGAACTGGTTTGAACCACAAAATTAGGAATATATTTTGCGTGTTGTTTTGGCGATAGCTACGATTTCCGCCATGAAAGGAGTAACCATACTATAGTTTTTTTTTATCGTTCTTACAATCCAGTTTTATTTTCAGATACCCAAAATAAGAAAATTTATCATTTGTCTTCGATTCAACAGAAAGATAAGATCTAGATTAACATACAAAACGTCGTGCTTATACGACTCAACACTCATTTGTTGACCTCAATCACATATATTTTACCTAAATCGAATGGTTGCCAGGAAGTGTGGTAGGCCGCCTAAAATATCCGTGATTGGTAAAACTTTCCGTCGCAGTATTAAAAATTGAATCGTAATTGTGCTTTTAAACTAATGAATTAATTAAATCAGTGCATGAAATGGGCACCTCGTCACCATATATATCGTGAAATACGGTTTACGAAACACGTTTCGCAATACATATATTGGCGAGGCCACTGAATTTAAAAGCAATCATATTTTCAAAATGTCACCAAAGCTTCAGGACGAGCCCTTTTAGTTTAAAGGAGCTGTGCAACAATATTCAATTGGAATGTTTTTCCCTCTACACGAGCTTACTGGCACACCTGGGACTCAAGGATACTCACACGCAACGCCATTGGCCAAGAAACTCCTTTGTTGCGGTGTAATTTCAAGGACGAAAGCGATAATTTTTATTCAATCTCTCCTTTGCAAAATTTGATGACGTAACTCGGGGATCGCAGTACACTCAAGTGACGATATTTGAGTGCGGTTCATAGATTGGACCCGAGCATTGCGTGGGCACTCGACTTGGCCTCGTGACAATTGCTAGCTCGAGAAGCATTCGGGTTGTGACCCGTGTCCAATCGCTGCAACGACGACAACAGCCGAGCCATAACAATGTATGGAACTCAGCGCGTGTCCTGCGCTTTGCCAACCCCAGCGCGTGGCTATGATCAACACTGGCGGCATATAATCGGCTCCAGATCACGTGGCCGCTTGTTCTGGCTGCGAGTTGAGGGGGTGAACGCTGCTCGTTTTTCTTACATTGTTTTCTGGGACTTCTATTGCGTGGGGTGAAAAACGAACGCGTGTTTCATAGGTCATTAACGTTAGGGATCCGTTTTAAGCGGTATTTGTGCACAGTACAAAAATTGTTGCACAGCTCCTTTACTGTGCATAGAAACACCGAGTGGCAATCACAACGTTTGTTTTCCCAACAATCATTGTTTACACTCACCGCTGTGATGCAGGCTAATAATCACGCAGAAAGGAGTGATCGACATTGTTCACTCTAATCCATGCGCACCTTTGTACTCAGATTGAATCTTGCGTAAAATAGGGCATGCCCAAGTAAACATCTTCTTATACAGTATAAACTGGCGTAGACTGGCTGTTGAGGTATGTTCTTAATAATATGCCGGTCAATTCAATTCGCAAATAATCATCACCTTTGCTAATTGATGATTTTTTGTTAAATATAAAAAAGTACTATTCCATGCTTTATCCGACATGGCAGCTACATAATTTGACACTTCCTGACGGTCTGCGTGCGTAATCGTGAGAGTTACGCCATGTGCCCGTGCGCTTCGTTTTTGTCCAGCCGACATGCAAATAAAACCAAGATCATGTGACGGGCTAGTTAGTTATACATTACACAATTAAAGGTAGAGCTAAAGACGAGGACAAGTAGAAAACACAGACACGGACAAGCGCTTGTCCGTGTCTGTGTCTTCTATTTGTCTTCGTCTTTAGCGCTGCCTTTAATTGTACAAATAAAACTGCTGCTCATCCTTCGGAATTAAAAACAGCGCGGAAAGACGAGGACCAGACAAAGAAGTGACACGGACGTAGAGCTACGTCCGTGTCACTTCTTTGTCTGGTCCTCGTCTTTCCGCGCTGTTTTTAATTCCGAAGGATGTACCACCTCGCCCAAGCCTCAACTTTTGCTGCTCATCCTAAGAAAGAT